TCAGACCTCCTCGTCGAGGTCACCGTACAAGAACGCGGTCCTGACGTCGAACTGCAAGATGGCCCATCCGCGTTGCAGCGCGTATACGATCACGCATCTGATCGTCTCAAATCTGATAACAGGTGCGTATGTTTCACTGTAGTCGATGCCCATGCGTTGTAGAAAGCCTCTGATCACTAGTCGAGCTTTATATCGCTTAATCCGGCCCGTAGAGTCTCTCTTGAGCGCGTACACCCACTTGCACGAAATGACACGCTTGCCCTTGGCCTCCGTGCGTCGCACGAGCACCCAAGTTTCGTGCTGTTGCTGTGAGTCCATCTCAACTTGCATCGCTGCTTTCCACTCCTTCCACTTCTTTGACCTTGCCGCATGCTTGTGACTAATGGGGATCTGCACATCCTCGACGTTCTGCTTCGTCACATTCGTCACTACGTAGTCCTTGAGTCGGGCGGATGGTTTTCGCTTCCGCTTCGGTCGCGACGTAGCTGCACTGTCGTCTGGCGACGACTTCTGCGTCGTGCATGGCTCCCAGTTCTCCTCTTCGTGAGCATCACGTCGACTGTCCTTGGCCTTCGAGGCTCCCACTCGATTTGCACATGCTTTCGCTTTATTCTTGCCTTTTGTGTTCTTCCGCTTGGGACCTCCCACTGAAGCTGCTGGCTTCTTAGCGTCCTCGCTTGGTAGCTGTGGGTCATCACTTCGAGTCGCAGACTCGGCTTCAACTTCAACACCTTGGTCATGGCTCTCACCAGCAGTGGCCAGCTTCGCCATCTTCGCTGCTCGCCTTTCTGCAAGCTCTGCAGGAAGCTGCAGGTACGTAGACATTGTCGTCCGGATCGGCACGATCGGGATCTCCGCAGGTAAGTCGTAGTCTCCGTAAGCGTAGGTGTTTGCAAGAAGTTGCTCAATATACACAGTGTTTACCGTGTACTTCTCATGTGCCTTCATGTTTCCATCTCTGCACGTCGTCACTGATCCTGTGCGCAGGTTCAGCAGCTTATAGCCCTTGGTCTTCTCGCTGTAGCCAAGTAGTAAGCACATCTGCGTCCTTGGAGTGAGCTTCTCCTTTCTCTGCCGAGAATCATCAGGGATGTGCGCGTGCAGCAAGCACCCCCACGTGCGCAGCACGCTGAGGTCTGGCCGCTCTCCGTACAGGGCCTCGTACGGGGACTGCTGGTCCTTCAACACCGGCGTCGGCGTCTTGTTGAGCGTCTCAATTGCATGTAGGAAGGCTTCTCCCCATAATGAAACAGGCATTTGCGTAGCTTGTAACATAGATCTGACCTGCCGCATGACGAGTCTGGTTCGTGCGCTCCACGATAGCGTTCTCCTGCGGGCTGT